GTGTGTCGTGTGTGTATGTGGCGTGCGTACGAGTGGTCGTTGCGTGGCGAGCGTGCGTGTGTTCTGCGTGTGAGCGTGTGTGTGTGTGGTGGTGTGTGCGCAGCGCGCACGCGCGTGTGTGTGTGTGTGTGTGTGCGTGGTGCGTATGTGTTCGTGCGTGCGAGCGTCCGTGTTGTGTGCCGTGCGTGCGCTGAGCGTGTGTGTGTGTTGTGCGTGCCGTGCGTGCGTTGCGGTGTGGCGCGTGTGCGAGCGTGTCGTGTGTCGTGTGTCTGTGTTGTGATGTGGTGCCGTGCGCTGCGCTGCGGGAGCGTGTGCGTACGCTATGCGTGGTGTGCGTGTGCGTGCGGCGTGTGTGCGTGTGCGAGCGCTGTGGGTCGTGTGTGCGTGTGCGTGACGAGCGGTGTGTGCTGTGTGTGTGGTAGTGTGTGCGTCCCTCGCGTGCGTGCGGGATGCGTGCGTTGCAGTGTGTGGTTGGTGTCGTGTTGCGTGGCGTACCGAGCGTGCGGTGTGTGGCGCTGCGAGCCGTTGGTGTGTGGTTGTGTGTGTGTGTGCGTGTGTGTGTGTGTGGGTGCTGTACGTGCGCTCCGCCGAGCGGTGCGTGCGTGTGTGTGTGTGCGTGTCTGTGGTGTGTGTGTGTGTGTGTGTTGTGTGTGCGTGGTCGCGTGCGTTCCGTGCGCCGCCGTGCGTGCGTGCTGCAAATGATTTATCCACCAACGTCGTTGTTTGCATCCCGTAAACGTATATGTGACAGAGCAGACGTGTGAATACGTGAGCTGCAGAATCACGAGGAGAAATACACATGTGATTAGCAATGACGATGGACGCAAGATGTACCTGCTAACTCATCGTGACGATTGGCGATGAATTGCAACTTGGAAGTGACGATGAGTGAAGGCGATGAGTAACGTTTATGAATGCATCGGCGATCGACGATGCATGACCGACGGAGGAACGATGGCAGGGGCTGCAATGCAGTGCGGAGCGAGGTGTGGTGCGGTGCGAGTGCGGAACAATAACATACATCTCTGCCGGAAAATTTCGTAAACACCACTGTCACGGAAACCCGACCGACCGCGCGTAGAGAGGAGAGAAGAGCAGGAGGAGGGAGAGAGGTAGTGGGAGGAAGAGACGAGACGAGAGAGAGAGGTGAGAGAAGGGGGCGAGAAGGGGAGGGGGCGGGGAAGAGAGAGAGGGGGTGGCGGGGGAGAGTAGTGAGATAATCAGACCGAAAGAGAGGGAGCAGATAGATGAGACACAGAGAGAGAGAGAGAGAGAGAGGAGAGAGAAGAGAGAGAGAGGAGGAGAGAGATAGAGAGAGAAGGGGCGGGGGAAGCGCGCGCTGCGGCGCGCGGCGGAGAGAGAGAAGAAGAGATGAGGATGAGAGAAGAGAGAGAGGAGAGAGACGAGAGAGCGGACAGACAGAGAGAGGGAGAGAGAGCGAGAGACATGAGAGAGAGAGAGCAGAGAGAGAAGAGAGAGACGAGAGACAGACGAAAAGAAGAAGAAGGGGGGGGGACCACGCCTCGCTTCGAAAAGCGGGCTACACCTGTACCTGCAAACCAGTCGCGTCGCAGGCCCCCGGACACTACGCGTGAACAATGCCAAACGGGGCTTAACGCTGATTCTATAGAAAATCTACCACACCCACTGCCTGACCGACGCCTGCGCAGCCAAACCGCCGAAGCAGCAACCGAAAGCACACCACACGATACACGCACGCTACCCGAGCACAGCAAACGCGAAAACCACACACACACGATACCACGCAGCGCGGACAACGCATCTGGCAAGGCCAACACACACAAATGCACGCAACGCATCGCGTACACACGCACCACGCGGGCAGAGCCGGCCTGCGTACACACGTGAGCCACACCAACTTTACTCACTCCAGGTAAAAAGAAATGAGAGGGAGATGGAGATGAGAGACTCGATCAGAGCTTTTGAGAGAGTAGGCGAGGTTTAGAGAGCAAATGAAAGATGACACGAGGAGAGAGAGTCGGAGCGAGAGAGAGGCGCGAGCGAGACTGAAAGAGAGCACCGCCGGCCGAGGACGAGCGCAGAGGGGGGGGGGGGGCGGAGGAGAAGAGAGAAGAGCGAGCAGAGAGTGAGAGAGCGAGCGAGTGGCGGACTGAGAGCAGAAGAGAGAGAGCAGAGAGAGAAAGAGAGAGAGTGAGAGAAGACAGAGCAGGATGAGAAGTGGAGAGCACGCGGCAGCGCGAGCGATACGAAAGAGGGAAACGAACAAAGAGAGAGAGCGAAACGACAGAAGAGAGGAGAGAGAAGAGAGAGAGAGAGAGAGAGAAGAGAGAGAGAGAAAGAGAGAGAGAGAGAGAGCCGGAGAGAAGAGAGAGAGAGAGAGAGAGGAGAGAGAGAGAGAGCGCAAGAGAGAAAGAAGACACGTAAACGCCGTGTGACGCCGAACAACGCACCAGCGAACAACGCCCGCCACGACGACCGGATATCAATCTATAATGGAGCGATTATGTAGTTTGTAGGACACGCCGCCACACAATTACAGTGAACCATAGCGAGCAATAAGGCAGCCAGCCAGCCAGCAAGCAAGCAGCAATGCAGCCAGGCAGGCAGGCTAGACATGCTCACTGTACTACATGCTATAGAAGAGAAAGAGACGAAAAGGAATGGAAAAGGAAGGGAGTGAAGGCAGATGGGGAATTGAGCGAGGGAAAGGCTAGGGAAGGCACGGGGAGGGAGTACTAGAAGGAAAAAAAAAAAAACGAGGGACAAACTAGGGAAGGGGGGAGTACTGAAAAGGAATGAAAAAGAATAAACAAAGGACAGGAAAGAGAGTGAAAGGCAAGAAAGGAGAAGGGAAAAAAACCCTGATGTAACGGCTAAGGAAGAGAATGAATGCACGGGATAGTACGAGATGGGAATGCAAAGGAATGGGAAGGAAAGGANGTGTGTGCGTGTGTGTGTATGTGCACCGTGTGTGTGTGTGTGTGCCTCCCGCTGTTGTGTGTGCTGCCTTGCTGTGTGTGTTTGTGCTCGTTTATGTGTTGTTGTCTTTATGTGAGTGTGGGTGTGTGCCTTAATGTTGTATGTGTGTGTGTCACGTCTGTATTTGTGTGTGCGGGTGCCTTGTATGTATGTTGCCCGCGCGCCCGCGTCGCGTGTTGTGCACGCGTGCGCGGAGCGAGTGTGTGTGGTGTGTGTGCTGTGTGTGCTGTATGTGGTGTGACGGTGTGTGCCTTTGGTGTGTGGTGTTGTCGTAGTGTGTGTGCTCGCTCGAATGTGTGATGCTTTGTGTGTGTGTTGTGTGTGTGTGACCCCATGTGTGGAGTCTTGTGTGTGTGGGGTGTTGCCCGATATGACGAATGTTTTCCGTCAACTCCGTGTCCAAACGTTCGTGCCGTGGGCGTCGTATAATGTATTGCGTCCGTCGCAGTAAATCGCACGAGTGACGATGAATCGTTACTTCGGCTCTGTAGTTTTCCGGTTAACGCACCAAGCATCGATAACTGCCGACTGCGTTGCCTCGTCATGCCCTCGACGATCGGCTGCTTCAGTAGAGCTGTGATGTCTCTAGCTTGATCGCACGTCATGTGAGTGTAGGGCAGTGCATCTGTTGGACACTCTGCTACAATGCTCCTCGCCGAAGGATAAGGCCTGTTCTTTACTTTGGTCGCTTATGCTCGTGCTGCTATGTGTTCTTGGACCAGAGATCTCCTCGATCCGTGTTCTCAGGCTCCTCGTCGCATCTGTGTTAGATATGTTCCGGCTTATAGATATCATTTCTATACTCCTCATGCACTTTATTTTCTTATCGCTATATTATATAATGTTGTGTGTGTGCCGTGCCGTGCAGTGCGGTGTGCGTGTGTTGTGTGCCGCTGCCCGTGCCGGTGGCGTCGCGCAGTCTCACCGGGAGATCGCAATCTTTGTCGCGTTGCGGTGGGGTGTGTCAACGTCGTGTCCACTGCGTGCGTCTGCTTTCCGTTTCAACGGGGATGAGAGAAGGTATCTGAGGACGTGCCGCCGCATGCGGTGGTATATGTGGTGGCGTTAGGGGTCTGATACCGATGAAGAGACGAGACCACCGAGCGCAAAGCACCGAACGAGCGTGCGTAGGCCAGTGGATCCGCACGCCCGCGTTGCGTGCGTGCGTGCGTTGGTCGCTGCGATGCGTGGCGAGTGGAGGGAGGTACGCGAGAACGACGATACTCCCGGTGAATCGAGGCATGATTAGAAAGATGCGGCGATTGCACGTACGAGGGCGCAAAAGACGTGTATGTGTTGTGTGGCGTGTAGTGCCGTGTATGTGATGTGTGTGTGGTAGTGTCGTCGTGAAGATAGAAAAGTTGTTCGAGGTGCTTACGACGGTGGCAGAGACTACGGCCGACGGAGAGAGAGAGACGGCGCGAGAGAAGGACGAGGAGGCAGCATATTGAATAGAGGCGCAGCAGGGCGAACGAAGAGAGAGACGAGTGGAGTCTCGTGATGGTGAGTGAGAGCGAGATCGCTCGCCGAGGGGTGCGCTGCCGGAGCGACGTTACGCCAGCCTACCATCATACCGTAGATGGGAGTCTGACTGTCATGAGGATGGCGGGCCCGAGACGGTCCTGGTCCTCTGATAGTCCCCCCTTGTGTGCTCGGTGACAACTTACCGGCGGCTATTCCATCGGCTGCCGTGCGCCGGACCCCGGCGCTGCCTGGGGGCGCTCTCCATTCCGTTGACGGGCGCGCCGGCGGGACTGGCGCAGCCGGGCCTGGCGCCGCGAAAGACCCTAGAGAAAGAGCTGGTGAGAGAGGAGAGGTGACGAGAGACGCAGATTAGACTAGATAGAGATGAGAGGGGAGCAGGGAGATCGCGGCGGCTGACAGATGGGATAAAGAGGAGGAGGAGATAATGACGATAAACGTTGGAATGGTGTAGGATGAGCGGGGCGGACAGAGAGGATGAGCCGATGCGGACGGCGGATGAGAGGAGAAAGACGCCGAGAGACCGACGAGGGGCAGGAGGAAGGATCGGAAGAGAGAGAGAGACAGAGACAGACACACACATAGAGAGACTACAGCTAGTGGTGCTGCATCAGTAACATGGCCGAGCGAACCGTAAAGAAGACGACAACGATTCGAACCTCTCACGTGACAGGTAAGAATTTTCTGATTTTGTTTACTTGTCGACTTGTTTACTTGTCTATGACCCCCGCTCATTCGGTGCTTTCGTGTAATTGCAGATTATTTTGCTTGCTAGCGGCCGTTGGCTTATTTTGAAGCTTTATCACTTTTGTTTACTTGCTATTTGTTTATTTGTTTGCTAGCACGTTTATTAAGATAGTTGCTTGTTTTTTTTCTTGAGTGTCTATCAACTGCATGTATTGTCTTCACTATCAGCGAAATATACAAAATAAACAATGTATCAAAATAACAAATAAATAAATAACAATAGTTAGTGGCTAAAAACATCGCTAACTAAAACTAAAAATTTAAAGGAAACTTACAGTAAGAAAAACATTACTAAAAGTAAACATCACTAACTTGTCCCCCCCCCCACCCCCACACACTACGCACCGCGCTCTCCCTCTACCCTCTCCCTCTCTCTCTCTCTTTCTCTCTCCATCTCTTTCCCAATCTCCCCTCTCCCTCTCCCCTACCTCCTCTCCCGCACCCAACCGCCTTCGGGCACCTTTAATAATCGTCACCTCCCTCTCGTACCTCTGCCCTCTCTCTCGGCAACATGCACACCTCACTCGCCCAAGACGACCGTCCTGCCCACCCTCTCCAACCCTGATCTGCGGCACTCCCGGTTCACACCCCACAGACCGTCGCTCTCCACAGCGACCATGCAAAAACAATCAACAAATACCCTTACATCATCTCATAAATTCTACTGCTCTCGACGCTCACTCCCATATCTTCCAACTCGTCTCCTCCCAATCTCCCAGGCCGCGCGTCGCGCGCGCCTCCTTTCTCTCCTATCTCTTCCTCTCCAATTCCCTCCTCCTCCCCGCCCCTCCCCCTCTCTTCCCTCTCTCTCCACTTCGCCTCTCGCATCTCCTCCTCTCTTTCCCCTCCTCTTTCCCCTTCCTCGTCCTCCCTTCTAGCACCCACTCTCTCTCTCTTGCTTTGTTGAAACCTCACTGGAGCTCGCTGCTTATCTCCTTACCGCCCATCTGACTCTCTCTATCATCCCTCTGGCCCTCTCAAATCAGCATACCCTCTTGCCGCCTCATCCTTGTCCTCCCTCCAATCCGCAATCTCCGGAAGAAATACTCCCTCTTGACACACACTCTGCCTCAAATCCCTCATCCTACATCCCATCTTCTCTGCCCATCTCCACCCCTCACTTCACCTCGTCTCCATCTCTTTACACCCATCGTTGCTGCACTGCGTCATATATCCGCAACATCCTCTCCCTCTCTCCCCTCCCTCTCTCCCTCTCTCCCTCTCGCCCTCTGGCCCTCTCTCTCCCTCTCCCTCTCTCCCCCTCTTCCCCTTTTTCCCCTTTCCCCCTCTCTCTCCCCTCTCCTCCTCTCCTTCTCACCCGGAAGTGTGACCTCTCTCCCGCAGGCGACGATGACCTCGGCTACTCAAGCTTCCGGTCTGGAATCAGTCCGCGCCGGAGCACAGTCAGGGAGGCTTCCCTGAGGGAGAGCCCCGTATTACAACGTACGACCGCCTACAGCAGCAGAATGTTCGCCAGCTCGGCCCAGGGCGAAGGTCAAGTGGTGACGGCACCCGCTGACGTCATCGCGCACCGACAGAAGGAGAAGCAGGACCTCGGAGTAAGCTTCCTCTGTGTGTTTCTCTCTTCCGCGTGTGTTAGTGTTGTTGTTGTGTGTATAGTCGAGGTATATATAGAGGGAGAGAGAGAGAGAGAGAGAGACCGCGAGAAAATTGAGAGGGAGACGAAATGAGACAGGGGGAGAGAGATATAGATAGAGAAGCAGATTGGTAAAGAGGAACGGAGATAGGACGAGAGAGAGAGAGAGAAAGAAAGAGCAAGACAAAAAGAGAATGTGGGATCTAGCGCGAAAGCGCGCTTGAGAGAGAGAGGACAGGAGAGAGAGAGAGAGGAGAGAGAAGAGACTGAGAGACGAGAGAGCAGAGGAAAGACGAGAGAGAGATGAGGAGAGATAAGAGCATGAGAGGAGAGATCCAGGACGAGGGCGCGGATGATCAGTCTAGGAGAGAGGGATGAGAGACGAGAGAGGCGACCGCCAAGTATCGACCGGAGGCGAGAGAGAGAGAGAGAGAGAAGCACAGAAACAGGTGGGAAATCTTGAAGTGAAAGCGCCGCTGTGCCGCGCCGCGCGAAACGATACGATACACACAACACACACACAACACACACACACACACACACACACACACCACCCCCCCCCACACACACAACACACACATATATATATATATATATTTATATATAAATAAATAAATAAATATATATATATATAAAGAGAGGGAGAGAGCGAATGAGGGAGTTACCCGCGTCAGGCAGGTAGAGGGCGGGTTGGTGAGTCACCGCATTGTTGTCTTGCATGACCACCTGCGCGTGGTGAAAAAACTAGCAGACGAAGAAGAGCGAAGCGACGCCGACGCCAACGTTGGATTACAGGGTTGCCGTGGTGTGTGTGTGTGTGTGTGTGTGTGTGTGTGTGTGTGTGT